AATAAAGGTTAAATAAAAAAAATAAAAATATGTATTGTTACTGAGAGCAAATGGTTTTATGGATAATGTGGCAGGCAATTTTTCAAACTTTACAAATACATTTTTCTAATATGTTTCTCTGCATTTCTAGGATCTTCTTTGTCACTCTAAAACATACTAATGGTTTAAGCGAATGTATGAATGCAAGTGCAGTTAGGCTTAATTGAGAAATGCATTCAGAGTCTCGGGATTCTGTACTAAGGTAATGATCTGTTGCACATTTTGTCATTAAGCCAATAAATCTCTGTGCTACCAGTCATTAAACTTAAACAGCAAAGTTGTGTGAAGCAGTAAAAGTAAATTTATTTATGGCAGCATACTTTAATATTTATCTATCTATCTCTGATGGATGGACACAGCGAAATGTGAGAATGTTTATGTGAGAATTAATATTAGTAATGTGCCTTTGAAATTTGTTTAATTTCTGCTATTTGTTAGAAAGATTCAAACCTTTTCCAGTCAACTTGCAATTTGACAAGCTTCAAGATTTCAGTCAAAATCATAATGCTATAGCCATCACAGTCAAAAGCAGTCCATTAGGGTATAAGGGTCCCTGGCCTGGTAGATTAATATTCTAGCTGAAGTTTGCAAGTGGTGCTTTTGGTGATGAAGGAGGCTATTTGCTTGTTTAATGCTGTTGATTTGCATGAATCTTTTAGTGACTAAGAAAACTCTGAGCGCTGAGCTCATGCAACACAGATAAAAAAGTAAGTAAATTCCAAAAAGCCCTTGGAACACAAACTTAGTGAATTTGAGCCCAGTGTATCAGAGGTTATCTTTTTCTTGTGTATTCATAACTGTATAATGTGATGTAACTAGTACATTTGAGGATTACAGAAAAATTGCAAGTTTTATGCTGCAAATCCATCTGACTGTAAGGAAATAAAAAATGAATAGCACTATACCGAGGGGCAGCTGAGCCTCTGGCTACAGCCTAGCTTGCGGACAGTGTACTGACAGGTCTGCAATTAATTATAAAACGTATCCATTCCATCAAAAGGTCTGGGGAGTTACTAAGTGATGGGTTTCTGGTAATTAGTAAGTAATGATGGGAAATATTTGATCACATCCTCTATATTGATCCTACAGCGACTTTTCTTCATTTGACTGAAGACTGAATTATGGCTGAAGTGGTAAGAGGGCCAGCAGTGATAGTCTACTCTGTACTCTGTTGTTTTAATACATGTAGGGTAACGATGAGGTCAATAATACATTGTGTTTGGAGAATAGGAAAATTAGACAGTTTCTATAAGATTATCAAGTGCGTTTTGCCAAAATCCCCTGAAAGGTTCAGCTTGTTTGGTGTGTCCAGTGTCCTGGGGTCAAAAGCTGATCAGTTTCCTTGCTTGCATTTTCTGGGAGTAATTAGCTGATTTCCTCGCCCATGTTGAGTGTCTTAAGCCATGAGCTATTATGATGTGTCACCAGTGGAGATTCTTGGGCTGAGAATTTGAACCTGAACCTCCAGTAACATTTTTGTGTCAAAGGTCTTAAGGCTAATGTGTGTATTTGACTACTGATCAGAGTTTGCGTGATGAGGCTATAATGAGCAGGATAGCCTGAGACATGAGGCTCTACTTTAAAAAGCAAAGAAAAGTTTGTGTTATTTAGGAAAATATCAAGATTTACATGTGATTTTAAAATTGTTCTATAATGTGTGTTACTGACTAGCTTTTGGGTTATATTTTGCATTATCTTTTGGTATTTTCATGACCAGGTCATGTGTCTGCTGATCATCAATTACATCCAATCATATCAGCTCCTCTGATCCTCATTAAAAGCGGTGCCCTTACCAGTATGACTTACTAAGACTTTGAGGAAGGATTAAAGTCCAGAGTCAGACTGTCCTCTCCTGAGAAGAAACAAATATTTCAGAAAGTTACAGAGTTGCAGTACAGTAAAATCCACACACTGGTCTCCACTTTAATAATTTATAATTGTGAAGAACGGAGGAGAAGGCTCAGCTGATTCAAAAATCCCATGTGGCCATTCAGGTATAGTTATTTTAGGACGTTCAAGGGAAAACTAGATAGCGATAAAAGGAACGTGAGATCGACTGAGAGAAAACTATTATGTTGTTACTGGGTTTGCAGATGCAGAACGTGAAATGTATCCTTTTCAGCAGTTATGAGTTGCATCTTGACAGTTCAATTTGTTCTGCAAATGGCTTCCAAAAGACAAAATTGTGGGAAAAGGTCTTTTTTTTGGCTCACTCACTAATGATCCTTGTCACTGTCTTAGATGTTGCCGCTTGTGAGATATCTGTTTCTCTAAAGATTTCATAGCAATATTTGCTACCTCTATTTCTCATCAGACCTGTATTTCCAAGCTCCTTCCTTTTCACCTTCAACCCGAGAAACTGTATAGTGAAAACCTCTGTCCTAGATCACATTTAAGTAACAGATTGTCTGTCGAAAAAAGCAAGCTTTTTATCCTTTTCTGTTTCTGTATATTTACCTGAAGTAACTTGAGAAGCTGCATTCTATATCTCTTATAATACAACTTATATTAACCAGTGTATCTTCCAAAAACATAAACGTGTTTCCTTGTGCAGAAGAACAACATAAATAAATGTTTAAATAATGTTTTCACTATTTGAATTCACTTGAGAACCTGAGCCAATAGTAGCTCCTTGAGTTTTATTTTTTATTTCACACCTGTCAGCTGCTATTCATTGAAATTTTGCAAGTACCTCACTAAATACGATTTAACACTGACTGAAATGTTTACTCGGAAGTGTAGAGCTACTCTAAGATTGCAATATTGTGTCGGGTTGTGAGTATATAATATTTGAATTCTTAACAGTGGCACAGCCCATCAGTAACATCCTTATCTATCTAAAATAGGATTAGTCTGCTGTGCTTATTATCAGCCTTTCAGATTTGCTGCATTGAAATTCAATAACGCAGGGTAAGAGATGGGGGTGCTGTCATTTTGGTTACTGGAACAAAAAATACTTTTTGACCACATGAAGTAAATGACTAATTCATACTAATGTTCTGGAATATTTTAAACACCTTTTTTTTAATGAGAAGTAGTAATTTGCATGAAAATGCATTGCTGTTCATGTGTTTGGCAAAAGAACATTTGTGACAGTGTCTTCTGAAGGCTTCTGAGGGAAGCAGTGGGCTTTTGACTGGAAGGTTGATCGATCCTCACCCTGTCAGGATTAATATTCACCATGATGGATTCTCATCCTTTCATGTGTCTGGCCTGTGCATACTATATCCTGAGGGTTAGTCACAAAAACACAAATACAATGTGATCCTACACAAAAGCTCTGAAATAAATACTATATATATATATATATATATATATATATGTGAAGCGTATAGTGTTCAGTTGATATTGTACTCTTTTATATACCTTGATAATTGGAGTTAAAACATTTATTGTCTTTATTTCTAAGCAGGTGACAAGAAGCATTTCACAAAAAGAAATGAAACTAGTGGGCGATTCATGCTTTGTTGTTGTTGCACTGCCTTAACCAAACTGCCTTGACCTGTAGGGTCTGCAAACTGTTAGTTAAATCTGTCAAATCCTTCAAGGGTCTATCATTCTATGCATATCTTCCACCATTTCACTGTGAAAATGCATGTTAAGGCTGATGAATTTAAACAGAGCTCAATCTAAATAGAGCATTATATATATTTTGTGCTGCTTAAAATCTCTATTCCAGCCACTGATCAGTGTAAAAAAGCTTGAGTATGTGTGCATTATCTTCTGACAAATTACTAGAGAAAAAACCCAGTGTGACATTATTATTTTATTAACTCAATGATCATTCATGGATTTATGTTAACTGTAAACAAAGAGAGATAAAAATTGTCTGTTGATTCTTCAAAAAAATAAGATTGCACACAGAAATGCCAGCGTCCTTGATCTGTCAACTTGAGAGCACATTAAGTTATTTTTGCTCATTACTGTAGACATCAGTTGCACTTTATTGTCTGGGAAAGACTTGAGCAACCTTGTAACTGAGGCCACCTCCCTGTGTCCCTCAGAAAATATCTGTACAGTGCCTAGAAAAACTGGTATCCAGAAAGAGTTGTGTTTTCTTGTTCTTGTAGTAGTAGTTCCTTGAAATAGTTTGCCAGAACGGTTACTTTGAATTTGTATTGGAGCAGAAACTAAATGCCTTTCTATTATTCTAACCTGGTTTCAGCTTTCCCTTGCATTTGTGACATATTCTAAGGGCTATGTGAAGATTTTGCTGCAAGGTCTTCTCCAATCTTCTTTTGAGAACATTTAGTTTCAGAATGTTATCAGAAGGTCAATATTTGCTTTCAAAAACATTAATCTTAACATTTTCTTCAGCGTTTTTCTTTTGAAGTGGTGTTTTTAGCTCTTTTGACCACACATAATGAGCTCCATCCACTGACCATAGTGATTTTGTAGATAAAAGTGTGAAAAAAAAGTCATCCATCGATCCTTTTTAATCATTTACCTGTGAAGCGTGATGGTTCAAGAGTGAAGTGTTGATTATTTCAGGGGACTGAGATTGAGTTTTTGTGTCTTTTCTTTCCTCTCTCTCTTACTTCTGTAGGGTGATGACGTCCTGACAGTCATCAAAATGAAAGCACAGTGGCCAGCTTGGCAACCACTTAATGTGTAAGTAATTTATCCTGATTATCATAATGCTCACCACTCATCTCCTACTGACTGCTGCTGGTTTTGCAAGTTTTATCACTGCAAGTCATCTACATTATTTCTCACCATTATAAAAAGTTTCCATCCACCCAGTGGTTTCCAGTAATTCGACTACAGTATATAGTCAACTTGGGGAGTCTTAAAACTTGCTAGAGATCTAATCACACTAATAAACATTAGTGTAGTGTTGACAGACAGATAGGTAGTATTTAAGAAAAGGAGTTGTTAAAACGTTGATTCACAGCCGACCAGTAAGAGATGGAGTCTGGGATTAAAACGGCCTCTCCTTTAAGTGCCAGCTTTAATGTTAAAGTCCCTCATGTACTTGTCTTACCCCTGCAGTAAATTTAAAATAGGCTGGGCTTTAATCATTTTTCAGGCAACTCTGTTGGGACTGTAAGGGGTCCATGTTATATAAGCGCCTCCACCATTTTAATTTGAATATTGTGTTCAAGTCATGGTAAATGAGTCACTTATCTGGAGCCACATAGCAATTCATTCACATGTGTGATACCGTACTGTGGGTTCTAAGGTTTTAAGGCTTAAGGTGTCAGAATATACAGTGAGAACTTAGTATTTTAAGTTGGACCCAAAGCTTGCTGATCAATGAAAACCTAGCTCAAAGGTGGCCTGAAACTGCCAGTACCACACCATGCTCAGAGTGTGTGCATACTTATTTACTCCTAAATTCATAAGAGCCATTTAATCTCTTATTCATGAGAAAAACAAGAAGCTTGTTGGCTCAGCTTGCTCAGAAGAACTTCACTGGTAAAGGCCTGTGCAGTGTTGTTTCCTCAACCACAGGGCCTAAGTGAGGGCCATGCATTTAGTCTCCAAAGGGAAGAACACAGCCAGGAATAGAAGCAATGATATCCACCAGGGCTAATTAGCTCACACTGTGCTGTGTAGGCAACCAATTAATTGTTTCACACAGTGATTGTGTATGGCACATGCAGGAGTGTATCATATCAATTACGTTGGCTTGGAGAAAGAAAATTATGTTTTTTTGATAGATGGCTATGTTGAGTGTGCTTTAAGTATTTAAGTTTACGTTTTACTTAACCAACTAGAAGACGTACCTTGTTAAGTCTCAAAAGAGTCTTTAGAGAGTTCATTAGCTTTACATATGAGCCGCATGAAAAATGTATAAATGCATATTTATTTATATTTATACGTGTAAATATGCATGTTTATGTGTCTCTATTTTTGTGCTTATTTGTGCAGGTGAACATACTGTATATATGTGTATAAGAGGAAAGCAGCAACCATAAAGAATGAGGGAGTGATTAAAAAAAGCTTATTACATTAGTAATTTTTCTACCTCCGTGCCAGCGACAGCCAGAAACATTATGTTTTTCGGATTATCCGTCCTTCCGTACATGTATTTACCAATGCTTGTGAATGCTGTATCTTAGAAACACCTTGAGGGAATTTCTTCAAATGCAGCACAAATGTCCACTTTGACTCATGGATGAAGGTTACTGGGACTTCAGTAAACATGTTTTTGGCCCTAACTTGATTACCGTATTTCCCAACCGGTCGATCTTGACAAACACATTTTTGGTCTCAAGAATTGATAGGGTAATTAAAGTTGAACTGACAAACTTTCAGACAGAAGTTTAATGGATTATAACAATGAAGTTCAATGTGATGTTATAATGTCCTGGAAAAACACCTTTTGTCAGTTTTTCAACACCATAACTCAGGAACAGAAGGGAAATTGAGACCATATTTTACAATTGTTCAGACACTGAATTGGTGACTCTTTTGACTCAAAGGTCAAAAGTCATTGCAAAATCAAAATAGGTTTTTACCCATAATTTAAGAATTAATTTGGCGATTACAACATGCGTTTACACACATGTTGACTGGGACAACACAATAAGTAAAGCACAGTATAGACTTTAATCTTCCATTCTGCCTTTCACTCCAAGTATATTAAATGAGTCTGTACAGACATAGACGTGAACTGCAACTTGACTGTTTGGCAAAGGCATACAATCGCGGGGCGGTGTAGGGACTATGTAGTTAAAAACCAGTATTTGTACTGCAACTGTTTTCTGTAAAATACAAATTTTCAATTTCATTGCCTAGAAAGAGAAAAATGATTGCTGGAACAAAGAGCAAAGCAGCAGAGATATAGGGGGAGAGTAGATGTAGGAGATGAGAAAAGAATAAGGCTGTAGAAGTGACAGCGATTATCACAATATATAGTCGGAAAAAAACATAACCTTGAGTACAGTAAGATTTTATTTTTCAACAAAATAAGGTATTCTAGACAGATCCTTAAGAGAGGACTTGACCATCTGTTTGTATGTTTCAGGCGGGGGCAGATCTAGAAGGGTGGCATGGGGAGGCAGCGGCCACCCCTAAACAATCCCTGGCCACCCCAGCTGTCACCCCAGTTTGGTGTCAAAAGCTGTCAAATTTAACACATTAATTTTAAAAATAACGTGTTGAAAAAAACAGACATCAACACATAATTATGTAATGATCTGTTATGACACCATGTTAGACTAAATGATAAAAAAGAAATGTATTTATTTCTAATGTCACCTTTAGATATTTGTATTCAATGCTTT